GCCATAAGATGATGACTTTAATAGCCGGAGATGATGACTTTAACAGCCCCTTCGCAAAGTCACGGTGGATTAAAAACCGAGAGTTTGGATAAGAAGGAAGCATTGGTAAACAAACCAACGACTTGATCCTTAGAAACAACATATGAGAGTGTAATGTTGCCAGCAATATGCTCATGTCAAACCACACTTCAATATGTTTGGTACACTCATGAAAGACTGGATTTGTGGAAATGAAGATGACACTCTGATAATCACAGTATAAAGTGATAGAGGAAGTAACAAAGACATCAAGATCTCGCAGAAGCGTGTGGAGCCATTTCAGCTTAATTGTAGTGCCTGCCAACGCCATGTACTCGGACTTCGTACTAGAACGAGAGACAACGACTTGACGCTTACTACGCCAAGAGATGGGAGATGATCCCATAAAAATACAAAAGCCAGTAGTGGAACGCCGAGTGTCCGAATCATCAGCCCATCCAGCATCAGAATATGCACGAAGAGTCAAAGACGAGTCTGAGGGGGAAAATACTGATTGAGTTATAGTGCCACAGAGATATCGAAGAACCCGAATAAGAGCTGCATATACACATAATTAGTAGCCTAATAGTAGGCACAGTAGGAGGCGACTGAGGTGGCGGCTAATGCGGCTTGGACGGCTGTAGGGCGACTATGAGGCTAGGAGGCGGCGACGACTGTTTTTATCTAACACCCCCTTCAAACTCACAGTGGATCGAACACCGAGAGTTTGGATAAGAAGAGCCGGTATTTGCAAAAGACACGTGTCTGAGAGTCGATGAAAGAGTCTTAACTATGGTGACAAAATCGATAATATAGGATGTAAGCACGAGTATCGATAAGAGAAACCCAACGGCTGTATGATCGATCGGGTAGGATAGGAATTCTAGAGCATCGAGGGAGAAGAACTCAATGTCGACGAGATGAACAGCAAGGATAGTAATCCTTATACATCAATGGAGAAATTTTGTAGTGGCAACGAGATCGAACGGCGAGAGATAGAAATCCTTGTACATCGACTGAGAGGATATTGAGTGTCGATGTCGAGAATGTGAAGAGGATAAGCTCGTTGCGAGGAAAATCTCAATAGTTGATGTTGAGGCCGCGAAGAAGATATCTCGCATAAAAGAAAGAGACCAGAGTCTTAGCCGAAATTCCGAATGTGACGGCAATGGGTTTTAAAAAGGTCACCGATATGAATGAGGAGCTCCATTGAATGCCAAGAGGCGTACTGATGTTTAATAGAACATTGAGGAGAAGCTCGACATGAAGTCCATAAAGAAAAAGAAAAAAAAAACAATTCGCCAGTATCCCAAATGGTGAATAGGAAGTTTAGGCTTGTTGAAATTGGGATGATAGGATACGAATAGGTGTTGAGGAACATGGGTATCGGTAATCTACTCTTCTATACAAATGGAAGGATAGAAGAATTACTATTTACTATTCATTCTATAGTAATCCTCTTTCCTCTCCCCTCTCTTCTCACCGCGTTAGAGCATGGGCAGCAAGCTCCCAAGCTCCGCTATCAGCTCCGACGTGGCCTCAGTCTCCGATTTCACCCCCTCCAACAGCCTCCGAAGCGCTCCCAAGGACCTCCCAAGAGCTGACGTGGCGGCCTCCAGCTTCGGAGCTCCCAAGCGCTCCACAAATTTGTGGAGCGCTTGGGAGCTCCCAACTGGGAGCTTATTTACAAAAACCCCCCTCCAAAAATTGAAATCAGCGGTGGGATCGGAGACTTCGGGGTGGGATTGGAGACTGAAGGCGGAGATGATGGATGATGGCGGAGATGATGGCGGAGATGATGGGTGATGGCGGAGATGATGGCGGATGGCGGAGATGATGGCGGAGATGATGGCGGATGGCGGAGATGATGTCGACGAATTTGATGGATGATGGCGGAGATGATTCTTGATGGCGGCGATTTCAGCGGAGATGATGTCGAAGGGAATGAGTTGTTTGAGGTGAAGATGAATTTGGGGTTGGGTCTGTTGTCGAAGGGAGAGGAGAAGATGAACTTTTTTTTTTAATTGAGTGCGTTGGTTGAGGTGAATGAGTTGTGAAATTTTCGTTGAAATTTTCGTTGAAATTGTGCGGAGATGATAATCGAACGTAATGGGTGAAATATTAAAATAGAAGAGGGTTTTTTTTGATATTGTTGAAGCTCCTAACTAGGAGCTTGTTGGAGCTCCATAAAAGAAGGAGTGCCTCTCAAGGTATAATTTGTTAATTTTTTATTTTGAAAAGCCTAAGAACTTTTGAGAGCATGCTGACTAGGACTCCCAACTGGGAGCTTGCTGCACTTGCTCTTAGAGATCTCAAATTTACCCCATCTCTCGGAATTCACCCCACCTCACTCTCACAAATTCCCTTCAAATTTCAAAAATCCCACCTTCTCTCACAATCCCCCCCACCTCACTCTCTAAATTCCCTTTCAATCTTTCATATCCACTATCTCTC